TCACTGGACCACTGTGGGCTTCTATCTTACTAACTGTGGGACATGGGCAACTCACTGGACCACTGTGGGCTTCTATCTCCTTGTGAGTCAAACGTGCATAACTTTACTCTATACTTCAGTGTTGTTAAGAGGATGAAATGAATTCATATTTGTAAAGTCATGATGACAATGTCTGGTACAGAGGAAAAGCTCGAGAAGTGATTAGTAAACAAACATGCAGATAAACTGATAGATCTGCTTTCACTTTTCCAGTGACTAAGCGTTTCTGAGCCTTTTGAGTTCTTCTGTAGGTTTTGTACATTTTCTTTGTCTTTCTTGTTTTGTCAGGTTCTCAGTAAACTAAATCCACTGCTACTGAGTTAATTCCAACTCACAGCAACACTATAGGATCGAATATAACTATCGCATAGGTATCTAAGGCTTTAAATCTTTACAGAAGCTGTGAGGAGTGGTTGGTAGATTTAACTGCTGAATTATTGGTTAGCAACTGAGCACTTTAACTACTCTGCCACCATGGCTCCTTGATTCTCAGTAGACCTGTAAATAAAAACTCTTCTGTTCTTCCAATTAGAAGGGCAATGTAGTGGTCTGGTTACAGGCCTGGGTTCTAAAGTGAGATGCCAGAGTTGTTTGGCCTCAGTTTCCTCACCAAAAAATGGAGAGTAATAGAATGTGCCCAAAATAGTTGTAAGGATTAAATAAAGATATGTTAAGCATTAAGGATAATGTCTAACACACAGTAAGCACTTAATAATGATGAGCTACAATGATCTTTATTTCTATAGAAATCTTTGAATGAGAGTTTCACACTCCAGTAAAGAGACTGTATATGTCTCAGGAAAATTCATCAGGTTTAGATCCATTATTACAACTTATAGTGTTTTGCTTTGTTTTTTACTTCCTTATTGGTGATTGCTTATATTCTCAATAGATGAAGTCACCTATATAAAAACTTTATGAAATGTGATAAGACACTTTTATACTTAAGTGTCTGCTGATGGCAAAACATGCTAATTATGAACAAAATGTCTTGCTCCACCTAGAGTTATTGATACTGGGTGGCATAATTGTAATGCTGTAATTATTTTCAGACCATTTAAAGAAGAATTCTGAGATGCTACTATGCACACGGGCATTGAAGTTTTTGAAGCACTTGCCTTTAAACATGTTATTCGACCTTTATTTGCACTTCGTTTCTCATCCTTTGATCACTTGTGATGGTGTGGTTTTAGTGTCAGAAAGACTCATGGCCTTCACAGAATTAGAGAATTTAAGAGCTGGAAGGGATTAAAGGTCATCTCATCTAACTGCTCATCTTCTAGATATGACCCTGAGACTGAAGAGGACTGATGTGCCCCAAGTCTCACAGCTGGCTAGCGGCAAAGCCAGGATCAGCACTCTGGTTTCTTGAATTCTTTCTAAGGTCACAGAATGGTTAAAATGGTGGCCAGTCAGGGACCCAGCTGGTGACTGATCCAGAATCCAAAGACATCAGGCCTTTCCCACTCAGCATAGGTTCCCTCACCCTGTCTGACCCAGCTTACATTGATAGATTAGCATTTTGTTTCAATGGAATGGTGGCCATTATTAAAGAAAAAAAAAATCAAATAAGCAGATGCCGTATTTTATAATGCAAGACTTTAGCAAAGAGGTTTAGGACCAATATGTATGTATATATATATATATATATATATTATTATTATTATTAAAAAACAGATCACACTGCATTTAAAGGGATCAGCTCAAGGCAGATGATAAAAATCTATCCAACAGAGTAACATTGGTTAACCAAATTCATTGACTTATGTTATCAAATTAGGCATTCATTGATAAATTCAGAATAAGAACTCAAATTCCCTCAAGCTCCTAGGAAAGAATTATTTCTTCTCCTGTCCAAACACCCAGGGCACAATGCTTATTGATGTAGTAGACTCAAGTTGTTGCTGTACTGTTGGTAAGTGCCACTAAGTCGGTTCTAACTCATACCAACCCTGTATAGGGTTTCCAAGGAGTGGCGGAAGGGTTTGAACTGCATTCCTTAAGGTTAACAGCACCACATCAGGATTTGTGTAATACAGCCAATTTGTTTATGCAAGGGGCTTCAAAAAGTTCATGGAAATTTTCCATTATTTATAATTTCATTTTTCCATTAACTTTTTGAAGTCCTCTGTTGGGATACAATCAAAGTTAGTCAAAGAAATAAAGTACTGCATTATACTATGAAAATTACAAATATTCTTATGTACATCTAGGCCGGATTATGTCCATTACATGGATCATAATGACACATTTTAAGGAGTCCTGGTGTAGCAATAGTTAAAAACTTGACAAATCAAAAGATGTGTGCTTTAAACCCATTTGCCCCCTCTGTGGGAGGAAACACATGGCTGTCTGCTTCCATAAAGATTTGCAGCCTGGGACACCTTATGGGCAGTTCCACACTGCCTTAAAAGGTTGTTGATGGGTCATAATCAACTCAACATCAGTGGGTTAATAACAAACTTTTATAATGATTGCTTTGTTTGTGATCAAATATATACGTTGATGACCTTCAATAAATAGAAGGATCCCATTTGTTTTGGTATAAAATATAAATAATATAAGGCTTATATCAGATGTGCAGATATTTTATGAGGGAAGTGAGTGTTAGATGAGGCATTATGGGAATAAAGTCAATGTGGTACCAAATTATTCAATGTGAACATATTTTAGACATGTGAGTTAGGGTAGGGAAATGGTTTATAATTTTATGCAACATATGAAAAGTTTTTAAAATGAGAGGATGACACAACAATTGACTCTAAGCTATGACATATTTTAATTTTGAAGGGAGTTAGCATGTGCTCATGGCTGAGTGGGCTGTAGTGGAAGCTGTGGGAAGGAATCTGGAAGCTGACAGCAGACCAAAGACATGTCTTGGAAAAGGCCGTGTTTTCAGCATGAACAACCAGGGAATTGATCAAATAGAAATGATACTCAATGTCAAATTAAGCTGTATACTGAATAAATAAGGGTAGCATGACACACATGTCAGTGGCCTGACTATGGTGACAAATAAGGAATGTGAAGGACATGGAAGAGCCAGCAATAAATGCTCAAGGGGAACTGTCTTAACTAAGAAGTTAGGGCAAGACAATTTTGAGACGTATGCCAAAAAAATTAAAACTAAAGCCTCAGGTATCCCTGCATCAGCTCCAACAAC